TCATAAAATCAACAAAAAAATTTTGAAAATTGTGTTGTGGCTCTGCATTTAACATCTCTACATAAGGAATATAATTGAATATAAATCCAATGAATCCAACGAATATAATTGAAAAACAAAATTCATTTTATTATTCCCTGTGGATCCCTCAAATTGTATATTAATTTTAGTGTATATAATATAATAAAAAATAAGGTATACATTTAAATTTGTAAAACTATCACTGTAAAAAACACATAAACATTAATTCCCATTAAACTCTCTCCTTTCCTTTAAACATATTTCTTTCACCATTCTCCTCAGCAGTTCTTAATTTTTAGTGAGTGTTTTGTTAAATCTGTTTCCAAGTTTCAACTACTCTGAAATAATTGGAACTATTTTATATTTTTTCTTTATTTTACTTTATTCAAAATTTTAGATTTTAAAGAGAATTTTAAAATATTTTCAGGATTATCTGTAAATTGGAGTTTGTGGCTTAAGGTATAAAACATAATTACTGGGTTCAGATTGACTTTTTTCTTCAAATTAGTGACTCTACTGACAGTATAAATTAACTAACTTCTCCAATATACTATTTGTCTCATGTGTAATTTTAAAAATTTATAATCACAATGATAATTTGTCATCTGTTAGCTTGTAGACATAACTGGGCACATGTGAAAAATTAAAGAACTGCTAGACCTTGTTAGTACGTGACAAATGGTCAATTTTTTTTAACAACTTAGAGATTCAATATATCGTGCAGTGGATCGAGCCCTGTGCTTGGCAAATAATTTTTCTTTCACTGCTTCCAACATTAATTGTTATATTCTTCTTTCTTTTTAGTGTCCAAACTTCCACTGTTGCTCTGATAAACTTTATTTCTAAGCTAGTGAGTAAACTGTACATGCAATACTTGTTCAAAGAATACAAAATAGAAAAAATATAAAGGAAAATATTTCCTCTGATAATTATTTCTTGGCAGCACAAAGGCATATGATATTAGATAAGGTGCTTATACATTAAAATTTCCACATTTCTAATAAACTGTCATAATTTATATAAGAAATTATGCTCCCATTTGCCAGCTATAGCTCTTTGAACTGACTTTTCAAACTTGATAGGAGAATTCAGCAAGAAAATATTCTATCATGAGTTTATTTTAGAAATGACTGGATGAAAAAATTTAATGATAGATGACAGTGAACTGTAAAAGTTCTGTGTCATAAAACTAGTGAAACATGAAATTACCCAAATCAATTGCTTAAATAACTTAATAACTTGAAAATTTGAAATTTATTCATAGATGGAGGACAAAGAGGAATTATAATATATCAATAAAAGGTCACTGGAAAGTCTTCATTTTAAGTATTTGCCCTCAAACTGTATTTCACCATTTCTTCTTAACTCTCAAATCTCTGTTAAAATTTACTGTTGTGATAAATTTTAATATTAAATTCATAGTGAGCAAGCAGATATATTTCCTTTGGTAACAGGTCAAATGGCAGATGAAAAATTCAATACACTATTAAGAATAAGAAGACAGATTTCAGATAAACTCAATTAAAATAAAACTGATTAGAAATAAACACATATGGGGCCTGTGATCTTAATGATGAAAATGATTTATTTTACCAAATAATATTTGAAACTTCAAATATATATTGTTACTCCTTTTGCATTAGTAAGGCTTACATAATGATTTGAAAAAACTTTCTGAGGAGACAGCTACTCAAAGTGATTTAATTATGATTTTTGTTTGATCAAAAGTTATTTTTGTCTCCACAAAGAAGAAGAGTAATAAAAGTAGCTAAAGTGAGGGCATTGTAGTTAACTTCTATATGACACAATGTTTTAAAATCAATTCTTATTGAGCTATTCTTATTATTATATTCACTTCTATTGTCGTTAATAAATATATGTTATATTTCTTGACAAAACCATGGTCCATTTAATCATTCAACATTGTTTACACACACGTGCATGCACACATGCACACACGGACACAGGAGGCTCCAAACAGTGACATTGTGCAGACAACTACGGCATAGACTTGTTTAAGGACCTCTAGCAGCCCAGCAGAGACACATGTCACCACAAAGTGTAGGAATATTTGATATAGATATGTTCCTAAAACATTAAGATTTGATGGAGAAGACATATAATTAGGTGAGAGAGGCAAAAGAGGGCATTTTGTGTCTGTGGGGAAAACAAATTCAAAGAAATTTATAAGCTTCAGCAATGTATTATTATGCGGATTGAGTTTAGAGCAGAGATGAAGGATCCAACCTCTGAGGATGCTGAAGAAGGGTAAAGAAGGGAAGTAGTGAAACTTGAACTCTTGAGGAAGAGCTTGCAAACTGAAGGGGACTAAGCTTAATGATCTCCTTGAACTGTGGGAACTGAATGGCCCTGGAATCCTATAACAATGGCAAGCCATGAGTGACACATTTAAGGGGATGGCAGGGATTCAGATGAGAATGACCTAGATCACATTTTTTCTTTATTTTACAAGGTATGCATGTAATGTGTGAATGTGCATTTCTGTATCTATAAATCAGTATTAATTTAAACCTGCTCATTAGTGTCTTAGTTACTGTTCTTGTTGCTGAGAGAAAATACTCAGCAGCCAAATAAAGGAGGAAACATACCTTTAGCCCACAGTTAAAAGATTTGAGTCTGTAATTGGCTGGATCCAAGGGAGGTGTCATGTCAACAGGCACCGGGGAGGAAAAACAGTTCATGGAAGGGTGCAGGTAGAAAACCAAGAAGGGACACCCATAGCTCTTTCTATCCCTTATATCTCATCCAGGACAAAATAGGATGAGTGGCACTCACACCCTTAATCCTAGTGCCCTAGCAATGCACCGTGAATCAATTCAAGCATCCCGCACTCTAGATCCAGTCACCTCTGAAAAAGCCCCACCAATGACTGCGTGAGAGCTGGGAAGGCATCTTTACACAAGCCATAATTAAATTTAAATTTGTTCATCTGATAGGTTCTTTAGTAAAGGAGAGGTGATATTATGCATTAAAAGTGGTGCTATAGGGATTGGGGATTTAGCTCAGCGGCATAAGCACCTGCCTTGCAAGCAGGCGGTCGTGAGTTCGATCCCTGGTACCGGTAAAAATGAAAAAGACAAAAACAAAATAAAAGTGGTGCTATAGTTTCAAAATGAAGAATTCTATCCCAATTAATTAACAATTTGATGCTAAGAAAATACTTTATCAGTCTTAGTATTTCATTCTTCATACTTGTCTAAGATTTACACTACTTGTCTAAGGTTACTAAAAATGCATAGAAAAATATAATTTAGTATAAATCTACCTTAGAAAAGTGTAAATATATTCAATGAAAACAAGATTCTTTGGTTAATACATAGTGGGACCAAAATATAGGGCAAAGGTTTAAACTACGTAAAAACTTACACTGTCTGAATTTCATCTCCACTGAAAATGTTTTTTTCAATCATCACCTTCTGCCTTTGTTTTACTAAAAGAATTTCTAAATGATCTCCTTGATTTTAACAAACCACACCTGCTAAAATTCATCCTTTATGCAACGGAATAACACATTTTAAATGTTATATTTTCAAATGTGTCAAAAATAGGAACAATATTAAATTGTCCTTACAAAGTATATTCAAATGCTCACCTAAGGCATAGGCCCATCCATGAGCTGTGCTGGCCCATTTATTTGCTCTTGTCCACTATTCTATTCATACTCACTTATGCTACTCCAGTTGTACTGGTTTCCATGGTATTCCTCATTCAGGCCAGCCCTATTAATGATTCAGGTCCCCTACACCTTCCTCTTTCAGCTAGGAACTTTAATGATATCATTGTATTTCTGTTCCTTTTCATCAGATTTCTCTCGTTAAAATTCACTTTATCACAGATGTCTTCCTTCATCATATCACCTAAAGCTAAGTTTAAATTTATTGTTGTTGATGCATTTCTGAGTTAAATTATTTTTTCTTGCTTTTTCTGCATGCTGTATCTCAAAGTTAATACTTGGAAACAGGGTTGTTTTCTTCATTTGCCAGCCTATTTGTGCCACTTAAAATAGAAGCTGACACACAGCAGATGACACAATGTATGGAATTGAAATTAGTTTGGTATGAGAGTTTCTTCAGTAATTAGAGAAAACATTGTAACTACTGCCTAGATAAAATGAAAACATAGAGATATCTAGAAATGATACAGATTGTAAAAATATCTCCTAAACTAGAAAAACAAAGTATTTATAAAATTTTTATAACATGTCTATATCACTTACACGTGAAATAAGCACTACTTATTAGAAAATAAAATTTGATTAATTTTTTTTCAGAATCTAATAACTGCCAAGCACAACTGTTAATGTTGCAAAATAAATATACTGTAAAAAATTACATATGAACCATTGTGGAGAGATTGGAATATAAGGCAGTAAATATTAAGTCTGAGAACAGAGGTGTGAACCTCACAGAACAGAGGTATGGACTGAAACCATGCATCACATATGTGGACATAACTCAGAAATTGTTAATTTTACACATTTTAATTTTTTGTGTCGTAAGCATTTGAAATCCACTGAACATTTCACAACTATAATGTATTCTAATTTAGACTATATACCTCTTAAATGTTCATTAGAGTTAAGTGCAGTACAGACCTGTAATTTCAGCCTTATCCGAGTGTAAGCAGGACGATTTCAAGTATGATCCCAGCCTGGGCAGCTTAACGACTTACTGGCACCGTGTCTAAAAGATCCACATGCACACACACGCACATGTGCGCGCACACACACACATGTGCGCGCACACACACACACACGTAAGTAAATGATTACAGTCACCTAAGGTTGTAAAGCTCAATTCAAAAGCCCAGAGTTCAATGTCTAGTATGGAAAAAAGAAAAAGAAAGTATTCAGCACAAACACTTTCCTACAATCATATCATACCGGCTTACTCCAAGCAAGAGTTTGTCTCTTTGGTCTTGTAATCAGATTGTAAATGACTGGCTCAATTTTCCATGTATTGAGTTCTGCTCACTTTGCAGCAAATTGAAGTTCCTCAATCACATGTTTTGTATGTATAAATGATGGCAAATGACATAAATGAAAATGTGAGCCAGCAATGAAATATTCTGCAGATCATCAAAAATTGTGAGTCAAATGTTAGGATTCCTTTAAATGTGCATGTCAGAACAAGAGATCCAGAAAATAAATATATTATAAAGAAAAAATACAGAGGTAGAGATACTAGAAATAAAATACATATCCATATACATACATGGCACATATAGGTGAGAGAGATGTTAAAGAACTAAATTAACAATCTTGTGGGCTGTCATGGTCTCACAACTTCAGAACTGTATAGAGTGATAGAAAGTTGGTATTAACTGTGATGAAGAGTATATTACAGAGAAAAACTGAATTAAATTAGTAAGTAGTTTACCAAAGTCAACCATAAGAATTGAAAGTTATAATTGAAATTATAAGTTAACATTGCAAGGCCCTGATACTTTAGTGTTCATAATTCACTTTTTTAAAAAGGTCAATTGGAGCAATTCTGATGCACAGAAAACTCTCACATCTAAAATTTTATCAAAGTAAAATAGCATCTTCATAGTACCAAATATATTATTAATACATTCAGTATTATGGTTGTATTAATTTAACTTTATAATTATATCTACTAGTTTAATCATTAGACACAACTTAATTGTAATTTTACCCACCACTCTTATTACAAATTCATACTTTGTTTTTATTTTTTACCCTAACTAAAATTTATGATTTAGTCTAGCACAAGTCACACCATTCTAACCCATATTCTAATCAATCCATGTGCAATTTTCAGAAACAAGTTATAGCACAATTCATATTATATTAGGCCATCTTAAAATAGGCTTATTATCTGAACTGTTGGGATTCAATTTAGTTGTAAGGTCATATCATGAACATGAGGCTAGTAATGATTCATTTTCTTCCATAATTTAATAATATTAACTTAGTAGCTTGAAAAATGAATCAACAAAGTCCTATGAATAGATTAACAGTGTTTAAAAATGTAAATCAATGATAAAATATAGGTTATTTCACTGAAATTGTTAACAAAATTCACTCCAAATTTTATGGAAGCAAAAGTAGTATTTTATTGTTAATTGCTATAATATGGGATTAATTAGGCACCTCCAGAAATGTATTAAAACTCTAGGGTACCATCTGGTAAATTACCACTTTAGTACATCAAAGGGTACCTAAATCATTATAGTGCTCACTTCCTTCTTATGCTAACCCTGAACTTTTCAACTATTAAGGATAAAGATTGCTCAGGGCATTTAAATTTGGAATATGAAGTAAGAGACTATGACTGACAGTGTTTGATGGATTCCTGGGAGGCAAGTGGACCTTCTCTTTCCTGATAACTCAGACATGAATCATGTAAAAATCATATGGATGAGACTAAGAAACCTCTTCCACGTGGCCTATGAAGCAGTTTCTCTTCTTATCCTATTCTTTACCTTTAGTATTTGATAGTGTGCAATCTACTACAATCTAATAGAAGTAATAATCTAGCTAAGTGCTCATATGTTTATCATTCTTAAACAACATATTCAGTTTTATATATTGTGCAGCATTATTGTACACTTGCATAATTAGCTTTATTAATTTGATAATGTTTGCATTCATATTTGTATTGATTAAATTTTTACATTAATGTTTAATAATTAAACACATGCTCATATGGCACATATTCTGTATATGCAATAAATATTTTTAAGTTGCACATTATTATATAGAAAACTTTCAGGAAATCTACATCCTAGTCCTTGTGACCCTTTCTATACTTATAATGGTTGTTCGTTTAGTGCATGTGTCTGCAAAAGTTTGTCTGTGCTCTGAAAGATATATCATATACCTGCATGCATAAAAAGTGCATTTCTTAAGTGCATAGACATTAATAGGCATAGACAAATATTACATATGCTATGCATAAGTGTGCATATTTATCATCATGCCTACATTTGTCTTCCATATCAAAATAATATTCTTTGGTTCCATTCTTAGTATTTTAAGAGAAGTAAAATGTTTCATAGTGGTAAGTAATTCTTTGCTTTTTCACAGATTTACAGTTTTATGTCAGTTTTGTTCTCTTTGATGTAGCTAATACAAACAATAAAATGAATATTAACTCACATGACATGATATTTACAGGCTGTGCATTTTCAGGAAAGCGAAAACCACAGCAATATAAAATATTCAAATACTTAAGTTATTTTCCCAGTATGTTTATAGCCATCTTCAGAAGGCATTATGAGTACCTGACAATGCGTCACATACTTTCACATTTATTACTAGAAAAAAAGACAATCATATATAGTGAGAAATTATATTAAATATTATTTCCAAGTTAGCTATGGTGGCATTACATTCCCACACTTAAAGAGTGGATTGCACAACATTTATGTCACCCACTCTGTTCTTCTTCCATAGCTCCAAAGGAGTTTATGAAACACAATACCTGGGGTGGGGAGTAAAATTTTTACTACCAGGAAAGAGATGAAAGAATGGCTATTAGACAATCAACTGGATGTGTCTGCCATAAATTTTATATTCTATGAATCAGTTTACCAAATGTGATAAATGATGTTTACAAAAATATTATTTTGTATTTCTTCTGTGATTTTCTAGAGAATTTCTAGAATTCTAGAGAAATTCTAGAGAATTTCTAGAGAATAGGTGCAAAGAAAAAGAGGGCTGTATTATGGAATTCAATAAAAACATACAAATATTCCATTGACTTTCATCATAGGTTGCAACTTTCTATCACTGTGACAAAATACCTGACAGAGACAACTCAAAGAAATAAAATTTTTATCTTATGATTTTGGAGGTTTTAATCCATACTCATTTGGCTAATCTTTTTCTGGGTGTATGGGGAGGCAGAGCGCCATGGAAGGGCATGTATAAGGAGCAAAGCCACTAACCTTATGGCGGTAAGCTGGGGGATGTATCAGGGTCCATTATATCCTCAGTGGCCTATTTCCATCAGTCCTCAAATTCTAAAGCTTCCATCACCTTTCAACAATACTTTATGGTGGGAACATGTCTTTAGAACATAAACTTTTCTGAGGCATTCTAAATCCAAACTATGTCACATGTAACACATAAATATTTGCACATTGATGATTACAGGATGCATTGCTTAATGGCAATGAAAGAGCTAGTTAAAATTATGTCGCATTAACAAGCAATTAAAAGAAATTGTGCTAAACCAAGTGGATAATTTTATCAGCCTGTAGTTATACACATGACCAGCATAGCACTTAATGCAGGGAGGCGAGCCCAAATTTTCAATGTTATTTGAAAGGTAATAAAAATGAATTTAGTATGTGTCAACTGGTAATTTGATTCTTTTTCATTTTTGAGGAGCAGCTCTTTTTATCTTATATTTTTATCAATTTGGGATAATTTTGAATTCAGGGATAAATATGAACACACATATATGATATGTAAGCTAGCATATCTATCACCTATCTCTAGGTAAATATATATGTATATGTATAAATATATATAATATATATATATATATTTATATACATACAGAGATGGAGAGAGACAGAGAGAGATCACTTACTTTCCTAATTAGCAACAAGTTTTTCAAATCTTTTTAAAATAGTGGTTGAAAAATTAATAAATTCTAATCTATGCTTCTTTCCTATTGTGACTCTAAATTTTATTCAGAAGAGGATTAAATAACTGAATATCTTAAATATATTTTCATGTATTCATTTTTTTCTTGTTGCTTATTCGCTATTTGAATTATGTTGGGAAATTGTTTCTCAAGAATCATTATTTCGGGGCTGGGGATTTAGCTCAGCAGCATAAGTGCCTTCCTTGCAAGCAGGCAGTCATGAGTTCGATCCCTGGTACAGATAAAAACGAAAAAGACAAAAAAAAAAAAAAAAAAAGAAAAGAAAAAAGAAAAAAGAAACTAATCGTTTCTCACATTTTGAACTTTTTATGCATAATTCATTGATCTACTATATGTGAATAACAATAAATGATTTAACTGTCTAAGGCTGGAGAAAGCTTTTTTTCAAGTGGTTGCCAACTACCCAAAACCATTCATTACATGGTTCTTCCTGATTTTAAAGACAATTACAACAATCAATTGGACAAAACTTTTACTCATGAACAATCCATTGCTATAGAAATTAACATATTGTCATAAATAATAGAAAAGTTTATAAAACAGAGCTCTAGTTTTCAAGTTGTGTTTAGGATGAAGGAAAGGATGCAAATTTCTAAGAGAACAGAACAACTAGTCCATCATGTGGAGGTGGATTTGAAGATATAGTGCAAGAGTACAAAATTCAAATATCCAAGGAAATTAAAAGGACAGAATATGGTAAAAATATCCTAAAAGTAAGTGACAAGGAGCTAAACAGTCAAATTTTTTTTTCTAAATGAGAAAAGCACTTAAAAAGATATATTGACCAAAGTGATGTAAGAATGAGTAAAAATTTAAAAGTTCAATATTGCCAGTTACTAATACAATTCAAATTAAATCCACAGTGAAGTAGCACTATGTATAATCGACAATTGCCACAATTAAAGAGGCTAGTAATTCCAAGTGTTTCTAGTGAGTTAGAGCTATCAGATCTGGTGGATGATTTGAATAACTGTACAATCATTCTAGAAATTATTGTGGTAATTTCTTACACACATAAAAATACACTAATGAAATGATTCAGCAATTCCTTCAATAGGTACTTACCCTAATTAAACACTATGAGTGTGGACATTAGTTAAAAATTATGAGCTCACTCATCCAAACTGGCTTTATTCACCGTACTGAAAGTCAAACAAATGAAAAAGTACATTCAGCATAAATAAATATACAAATGTCACTAAGTTCAAAATGAAAGCAAAATATTTACTCTGATTTTTACTTTTCAATACTGAAATGCAAATCCTAGATAATGTAAGAGGATATGAAATACAATCTAAATGTGTAATTACTAGAAGGAAGAAATATTTTTATTCATAAATGATGTTGTTGGGTAGAAATCTCGCTCAAATCAATAACTACTCAATTGTATGGATATGGTACATTGTCTGCTAAGAATTACAAAAGCTTTGCTATAAGAATGAAACTAAACCTAACATGATGTGTTATAAAGCTCAACATGTATGCAATTACAGTAAAGGTAAAACTACTGTGTAAAAGAGTAAATCAGTAATTTCGGAGCCTACTTGATTTCAAGGTGCTCAATTTCATATAAGAAAAAAATGAATGTTCTGAGTGTAGAAAGTTGATCTTGTCTCAATTATGGTACATCACTATATATATATATATATATATCTCCAAATTTAAATTGATAAGCTAGATTTTGACAGTTGACTCTTTATAAAAGTAAAAACAGAGCAATACAATGCTTAAAAATTTGCTTAATGTAAACTAAAACAAAAGTTTCCAGAATCCAATCATGAGACAGTGTTTTTATGAATATAAATATAAATAAAAATCATAAAAATACTCAAATTCATCATGATATCCATTCTTTCTAATTTAAATGTTTATTATAACTCAGATTACATTTAGATGCTGAATATTTAGGTGTTGACAAAGAGATTCAGAATTATAAAGAGAGCTGGAGATATGGCTCAGCTGTAGAGTTCTTGCCTCGTAATCACAAGGCCCTGGATTCTATCTCTGGCATTGAAAAAATGAAACAAAAACAAAAACAAAATTAAAAAGAAACACAAGAATCAGAATATCTAATACTATAGCACTACTTTAAAGAACAGCAAAGTTAGAGAGTGGACACTATCTGACTTAATTTATGCTACAAAACTATGATAATCAAAAAGTTTGATTTTGGGGGGTGGGGGAATAGAATTGGCAAATAGATCAATGGTACAAAAGGCTCAGAAAGCTCATAAAAACATTCGCAAAGGTATAGTAAACTTATCTGAGAAAGATTGTCCTCACACGCTGAGATAACTGATCATCTACATTAATAATTTAAGAAAGAAGAACACAATTGGCTGGGCATGGTACACACCTGTAATCCTAGCACACAGGAGGCTGACACAGGAGGATTGTTGCAAGTTCAAGAACAGCCTGGGCTACAAAGTGAGCTCAGGGTCAACGTGAACTGCATAGCAAGACTCTGTCTCAAAAAGATGGGAAAAAAAACCACAGATGCCTTGTACATTTCAAGTAAATACATAAAATAGAAAAATATAAAATTCTTAGATGATTACATAAGAGAAATCTACAAAATAATGTGTTAGCTGAAATTATATACAATAAAAAGCATAATTTATAAATTAAAAATTCTATGTTGTGAAATCGAATATAATTCAAAAGTTCTGCTGTGTGACAAACCATGTGAAAATATAAATACAGGTCTGAATTTCTTTGAAAAAGGTTACTTGACATCTATAGTATTTGATAAATAACAATTTAATAAGTAACAAGAATAAAGAATAACTACTAGAAAAATTACAGCAATAATTTAATATTTTTATAAATGTAAGTATGTTCATTGAAAACCTTCTATTAGCCAACTGTGGTGGCTCATGCCTATAATCCCAGCACTTGGGAGACAGAGGCAGGAAGATCGTTGTGAGTTCAAGATCATCTTGGGCTACACAGTGACCTCAAGGCCAGCCCAAACTTGTCTCAAAAAGACAAAAACAAAACAAAACAAAACTAAACTAAACCAACAAAACAAGAGGAAATCTTTCATTAGTTCATAGACTAAAGAGATCTGACTGACATGACTCCTAACCTGACAATATATAGATCAGTTAAAACTTCTAAACAGCGCATATTGGCACAGCTCATGTTCAATAATTCAAAACAGTATTTGATCCACTGAAAGTGACAATAGTATTCCTAATTTTATAATCTCATTTTTATAGAGTAATGAAATAGTATAAAACTGTATAATTAAAAGAGGACTCCTATGATTTCACAAGAGATCACTCATATTTCTGCTGCATGCTTGGGTTCAGTGGTTCTAGGTGGGATAATCTATGCCCATTTGTCTTGGTTTTGCTTGCTGACTTCTGTATATGCCAACCGCACATGTTTAATCACTGTGGAGAGTGGATCCTCTGCAATAAATCTTCATTGGACAAGTAGATCACCCAAAATAAATCATTTGTGGGTGAAACAACTCTGCTCACACATGAGCTGCTGGACAAGGAGCTTATCTGTCATAAACCACACAGAGATAAGTGGCTCAAGCTTGATTTACTGCCTCTAACCATAACTATGGTTTTGCCTCACCTAAAATATACCATGATTTTACAAGAAGCACAGTTTTTGCAAAATAAAAAAGTGTTACCTCCTTAATATTGCCTTTGCAAACATATTTTCTAATATATCATGGCCAAAATAAAAAAGTAAGATACTAGACTATTATGAGGTTATATTAATTTAGCAATAAATAAGACCAAAAAATTGAAATTATTAAAGAGTAAATACAAAAAATTCCATACATTAATGTAATATTAAGTATATATTTCCTTTGTAAAGTTTCAGTGATAATAAACAGACATATGGATATTACGAAGGATAGGTTAGATGCTCAGTAAGTACAAAATTACACTTGTCTGCTTGTCTGTTTTTTGTATAGGCATATGAAATATGACACACACTACATTATTCTTATTTTATGAGTTTGTAGCAAGGTATATAATCAGAAAACAGTATGATAATATTCAAACAGAACTATGTTGTCAATTATTAGAACAAACAGAAAAGTTGGACTGTGATAGACAGCAAAAACTCCCCCAAAATTGAACTTCATGAATACTCTAAAAGTTCAAACGATACATTAGATGGACAATGGAAATAGGGACTTTATACAATAAGGATTAAAATTAGTGTTGGTGTTAGTGGACACTAAATATGAGAATCTGTAACTCTACACATTTGGACATGTGTGAAGTTATAAAAGAATTTAAATCACTGAAAATTATTTTTTTATCCTAGACCAAAAGGGCATCACTAGCACGAAGAGAGAGAGAGAGAGAGAGAGAGAGAGAGAGAGAGAGAGAGAGAGAGAGAGAGAGACTCCTGTAACACTTATTGGTCTTTTCTGATCTTATTTTGTCTAAAATGTCACTATCTTAATTTGTGTTACATAGAAGTTGTTATCCTGCAAACCATACCATAAAACACATTTTGCCAAAACATTTTCTGTTAGAATTGACAAAATATATAAATTTAATATCTGTGGAAATAAACTTGCAAACATTTTGGCAATACTAGGAACCTATTCACCACCTTTTGACATTTATTTTTCCGTCGCATTTAATATTATATTTTAAAACTCATTTTAGGACTTTATTTTCTAATATGTTGCTCATTCATAAAAGATGTGAGGTTGATTTAAATATATTAAGTTAATAATATTTTGATTCTAGAGTAATACAAAGCATTTGACTTTACCATCTAAGTTAGGAAGTTTGTGACTGTGTAATAAAAGAAAATATTATTTACTATTCTCTTGATATTCTTTAGTACAATAAAAAGTATGCTTTAAGGATTTATTTTTATTTGTGTGGTTTATTTTTGTTCCTGTGATTTGTCTAAAAAATATTGTTCTATACTCAGAAATGAACACAAAACTGTCTTTTTTTTAAATAGTAGAAGTATAATTCAGGGTGTGTTATATAGACATTTTTTCATAACATATTGTGAACTGATAAGGGATATATAACAGGTGAAGTAAATATTCCTTCTTAAATAAATTGCTCCTGGTGTAAAAGAGTGGATTAAATAATTTTCTCAGTACCTGGATTTTAAAAGAGAATTTTTCACATCATTAAGAATGGCTTCATTTTTCTCCCAAGGTGAATATATTTCTAAAGTATATGTGTAACATTCTAGATATGAAATTCCTGAGGAAAAATTGGTAAAACATAACAGCAAATGAGAAAATATTCTAATAGCGAATTCCTCTTTATTGTGTCTGAAATTGTCTATGGTTTTAGATAGATAGACTCAAGGATACATAGATACACAGATAGATAGATAGATAGATTTTTTAGGAGATTATATATATATATATATAACCCTAAGATACATCAATATATTTTTATATGTATACATCTACTTAACAATATGAAGGATTATATCAAGATCATTTGTATTCCTGTAAAGATACAGATACCAGTGATAGGGAATATTTGGAAGATTGTATAAATTCTTCATTATCTCTCTAGTACGACATTTTCAAGAAAGTTAAATTATCATAAGCTGACTCCCTAAATTACAATTTTTAGAGTTTCTCTCTTTTAAAATTTTAATGTCTTTAGTAAATAAGAGTTAATCACTAAATATCAAATATAATGTGTTTGCAGTGCAATTAACCTGTATATTTTTGACATAGAAAGTTACTTAGAATTATGATTGCTTGCACACACCAACTTCAGACAGCTTCTTTCCCAGTAAGGGGAGAAAGAGAACAGAATCGATCCTTTCTATGAATTAATAGTTGTTCCAAATAAAGCAAATTTAATTATATATATATATATATATATATATATATATATATAGTCAATTTCTTTCTTTCTTTTTTTTTTTTTGGCTTTTTTCTTTTTTATTGGTACCAGGGATTGAACTCATGGGTGCCTGCTTGCAAGGCAGGCTCTTATGCCACTGAGCTAAATCCCCAGCCCCCTATTATATCAATTTCTATAAATTAGTTTGATGACTGGTCTTAGGTATAGTAATTGAAGTGTGACACTATTGGTTTACTATACTATATTTTTTTCCTAAAGTATTTGTACCATAAACTACATAATGACTGTCAACATGCAAAAAGATAGATAAATGTTTCAATCTGTAAATCTCTATTTCTTCTACCAGACCGTAGTCAGGTTTTTGCCATGGCTAGCTGTCCTGCATGAATAGTTTCATGATCTGTATTTTAGGAAGAAAGGAAAATATTTTCAAATATTTGTGGATGGAGAAAAACAGGAGCTAGATAGCAAAGTATTCACATTCCTGAGCTTAGTTCTGAGAACTCTGTCATTGCCCTACTCACTGCTCTTTAAAACACAGCCTCCTCACTTGTAGAAAATTAACTGCGGGCGCCCTAATGCCAAGGCATTTCCCTATCACAGTAATTTACTGCCAACTCGTCATATCTCCATAAGTCATCCTTCTGGACAGGAAGCCCTCAGCATAATCTCTGCTTGGACAAAAAGCTGATCTATGTGATGTGCATTTTGTTAGTTGCTGATGCAAAACATCATTGTATCATTTATTGTATTTTTGATATGTAGGCCACATTTTCCATGGCTTTTACTTGCTAAGAAGTTTTTTGCAGTAATATAACTTTTACAACAGTTCACAATCAACATAAGAGTGAGTTATTTTTAAATTCTCTCCTCTTCTTAAATTAATGGCAATTTGATGAAAGATGGATGATTTGTGCTGCCCTTTTATTCTTGGGTACTGTTGGACCCTTTCTTGGTGACTTTTTCTACTTTTCCATTCTTCTGTTGCTAATTTCCTTATTTTTCAGAGGCTTTTTCCCTCCACATTTCCTGCTCGTCACCTTGGACTTGAACCTTGCTGATGAAGTATTTTCTTTATCCCATTTTCCTTGGGAAGTTTGAAGGCACTCTCTGTCCAATCCTCCTAATTCTTCCCATTTTCTTTTTCTGCTGTCAACACTGCGATCCAACTTGCAAAAAACAGACTGGCTTTCATCATGTGTTGTTCCTTTGCACAGTTCATACAGAGCCAATCAGCAAGCATTTGTTAGACAGCATTTCTCGATATGTCCTTTATGTGGTTTAATTTTGATCTCTCCCTCCTAATTGGATATCTTGACTGTAAAGTCCCATTTTACAGACAGTCTAATCTTTCATACTGCATTATACAAAGATTTTTCAAGGGAAGTAAAAGTAATAGAGAAAATGTTTGATATTTATGTCATAAGTTTTACTCTTATTTTAGAAGTTCTTAAGTTTTAGTGTGCAAGAGATTAAGAAAAGCATATCTGCTTGTTAATAAGTACATAGTCTACTTTTCACCTGTAGACATTTTTATGGAGCACGAGTAGAAGACCAGGAACACGTACTTCAGTGGCAACTTCATTGTCTTTTGCTGCAGACAGCCTGAGCTAATTTACCAATTTCCCAGTAGCCATATTTTATTTTTTGGAAGATTTTATACATTTTCAATATTTGTAAATAAATTCTTACTTTCTTTGATGTTTGGCCTAGATTGAGTCTTCAGAAAGGCATTTCCCTTTCAGTGTCCAGGGAAGAAAAATTCAGTCAGCTCAGTGAATTGATTAATTTGCTTTAATGTTTACCTCATAATCTGATTTCTTTAGAACATTTTAAATTATAAGTTTCTTATAAAAATATAAGAAACTTGTGATACCTACTCTTTGAAAAGTGCATCTTGTATCTCTTCTGTGGCATCGTCATCTCTTTGCCTGTGCTCTAATATCTTCCCTTCTTATCCTCGAATGCTCCATGTTCCTCTGAGGGCCAGGCAGAAAGCTGTCATTTGGTGCTGAAAGAAAGCTAACAAAAATGCCCTAATATAACTTTATAATGTTAAAAGTTTGGGGGAACAAAATCTCATATGTTAAGTTATTTTTTTCCTCAATGCCAAATGCAGAAACCCTCATAATTTTCTGAAAGTCTTTCCCTAAAACTGTCACACTAGAGGTATGTGTAAACACTTACTACAGTGTGGACTTGTGGCCTAAAATTTTACTGATAATCATACATGAAGTGGGCTGCATGAAATCTGTCCTATTTCTCAACTCATGCTTTGCATCCCTCCTTGCTTCTTTTCTCCACCATCTCTCAGTCACCTCGAGGCTATTTTAATACTGCTGAGCTGAATATTTTATATGGCATATTCCTGATATCACATAAGTTTAAAACCAAATAGCACTTTCACAAAATAGACTTTACCAATAAAATAGCCAAAGAATATTTCCTCCGTCAGAGCCCCCAAACTAATTTATGTTACACCATGATATTATTTTTTCTAAGTAATTCTAGTACTCTGGAAGTTTTTGACTCACTTACCTACTTATTAATTTTAGTATTTATGTCTTTCATGGCCTACACAACAATGGTAGTCATTGTACATTTCCCTCTGTTCTCTCTTCAATATTTGAAACACACACACACACACACACACACACACACACACACACACACAAAGTCTTGTACTGCAACTTGGTCGCAGTGACTTACAAGATTAACTTTGTTTTGCTCCTTCTAACTGAATTCAGAATCATGTAGATAGCTTGAAACTAGTCAATGAAGAGCATTTTTACCACCACAACCAGAAAACATTAAAATCGAGATTTTTTTGAGAATCAAAAAATAATATTACCAGTAACTACATCGATGGAAAACGCAGAATTTTTCCCTCCCTTGCTTCCCTCCCCCCAAACTTTTCAATTCTAAATATCAGACAGAAAGTGAAAGGACAAAATGATTTCTTTCCTATAACTAAAATCTGAAATAATATAACAATACGTGAAAAGAGACTTCATTCTAGCTGGATGGAGCATAAAAGTTTTATGTCCTGTTTTGTCTTAATCTCTTTAAAATAAAATGAAAGAATTTAAAAGAATAGAAAGCAAGAAAATAAGACTGAAGGAAAGCCCTTATGAAATAATGCATCCCAACAACCACTTGGTTTTCCAGTTTTGAAATCAAAAGCAAATGTGATTAATAACTCACTATAATTTTCATCCCAAATATATATAAAATCCAATATTAAACACTTATGAAAATAGAGGGAATTGTAAGCTGTTTTAGCATGTAGACAAGAAAAGCTTTCACACTAGGTAATTATTGTCCATAACTACTACTTGCAATTATAACTACATTCTCCTTCGTTCTGGCTATTATTCCACTTTCCAATTATATAACACAAAATCATTTGTGAAATGTAACTCTACCTTTTCTTAACCACAGTAAGTATTCCAGTGTGCTTATTTATGTGCCAACATTATCAATCCATTATGATGTATGGAGAAAAGAGACTTTTTATAATTCTTTAATTTCTAAAGAATGCATACCAAAATTAAGGACTGTAACTTCTGATAGTAAGATAGATTTTTAATCATAAAACAAAAGCTTGAGCTGAGTATGCCAGAATTTCAGTGCTAATGGAAAGAATATTTAATAGTGTAGATATAAAAGTTGCCACCAAGAATGATTCAATGTAATATATTGTTTATGTAAAAGGAAATCTCAAGGAGGAAAATGCTATTGAACAATTAGTTTCTTTTTGTGTTTATTACACCAAACTGTATAAAGTACTTTTTCAGAAATTTTCTCACAAAGTCAATATCATAGCAGTACTTGTAAGTTTTTTCTGTTGTTTCAATTTCTAGATTACACTGACACCCTGTAGAAAACATGAGATTCAATGTTAGATGCCCAAAGTCTATATTCCATAGGATCTCATATTCTATTCCATAACATAACATTAAGTCACAAAAATTGTCAGTGATGACAGATAAAAGACCATAGGACCTCAAAGGGTATAATCATTATCATCATCAACATCACCAATTTCCACTAGGAGATGTTGCTCTAAATTTTAAAACAAGATACACATGTGTATATTTCTGTTACTGTCTCATCAAGATATACATAGATAAATGTATACATATGCATATTTGTTCCTCAATTTTTATTTTTTATCAACGTTTTACAGTGCAAAATTATATTCAGAGCCAAACACAGCTTGATCATTATTATTTTGGAATGATGGTTCTATTGTATTTAGTTCCTTATCTTAACATGATATATTCATTATTCCCTTTGGAATATGATGTATCAATTCTATTGCTTTTCTGTAGACTCTTACAATTTAGTAATGTGGAATTTAGATTTCTTTTGGGTTTGCTGACATCAAGTTTGAGAAGCAAACATTCTTAAGTTTGATGCTCAGTACAACAGCAATGACTGTACTTCTTTTAAGGCATAGATCCATTTATCAACTTGATGATGGGAATTACTAGAAAAACACATCTAACATTATGCAAAAGCAAAACAGCATAGTTAAGAGTTGCTTATTATAAATCATCTTAAAAGAGTAGATATAGATGATAATATAAAAGATATAGATAAAGAAAAAACATTACTCATATTTGCCATTTGTGCCAAATTGGTTGGAAGTTTAATTCTAAAATATAAATTGAAGATTCTCTGAGGGATGGAAAAGTGGGAAACGTACTCAGATGTGTATTTTGAGTCTTTTTAGTGCAGCATTAATCATCCTGAAAAACAGTTTATTTGATAATTTAACTATTAATTTATTTTGCTTGAGTAAAAATAGAAACAAATATGGAATGCAAATCACACTTGTTATGTTCAGTTAGGCAAAAATACATATGAATGTTACAATGTGTGCATAATAGTTTACATTTATGCAAGGAGTAAAAGAAATAAATACTATCTATAGCATTTTTTCTGAGATAAGATGTGATACAAAATTTGCCTAAAAGATATAAATTATTTGATTTTAAGGAAAAAATCTACATGACATTAGAAAAATTTATCTTTTGTTGGTTGGAAAATAAGAATACTCTCATAATAATTAATAACATTGTCTTTTCATCATGAAATGTTCCTCATTTTTTAAGTAAATGATTTTGAGAAGAATCTCAAATAATGGGCACAGTAAGTTAAGGTGCAATCACAAATAGAAACACTGAAGTGACACCCAGGATTCTGAGACAGATCTTTTTTACATCAACTAGCACTGATTGGGATCATTTCCAAAGTATCAGGCCCTGATCCTTGGCAATTTGAGGCCTATATGTGATAAGCAAGCAGAAAGCACCAAAGCAGAGTAATTAGTGTTTATTCATTGGGATTTTTTTGTTTGTTTGTTTTTTTGTTCTGGAGATTGAACTCAGGACCTTGACGTAGGAAGTGACTTCTCTTAAATTTTCTGAGACTGTTTATAATTTGTATTACTTTTTCCTTAAATATGTACTAAATTTTCAAAGAAGTTCACTGGTAAGGAGTTTAGTTTGTGGGAAAGCTTTAAAATGGAATTTCAAAGTCTTTGATATAAGTATACAAGGATACTATTGTTTGTTGATAATAGTATACAAGGATACTATTGTTTCCTTGAGTGAATTTACTTTTGTTCTTCAAGTTGTCCACACTACCCGAGTTACCAAATTAAATGACATAAGCCTGCCCATAACAATCTCTTATGTGATTTTTTTTCTTTTTGCTAAATTTTTCCCTCAAATTGGTATCTCACTATTTTGTGCAACATGGATTCCAACACTGGGCTCAAGTGGTTCTCCCATCCAACCTCTAAAGTAACCAAGACTCATTATATTCCTATGAACTTGGCTGTACAATTCTCATTTATATCTATGTTTATGCAACCTATAACACTGTCTTTGTATTACTCATATTTATGTTTTCTCCTTTGAAGAAAAATAATCTGCATAGAGGTCTAACAACTACACACTACAATACAAGGAAATAGTTGTTGATTTTGTTGGTTTTTTTCCTTTTAATGTACTATTTTATAATATTTCTTTACTGTGTACATATATTTAGATTTTTCTGTTTCAAGTTTCTTTTGCAGTAGGTTTACATCTATGATAGGAGATTTCCTAAAAGGACATTAATTGCTATTCAGTTTTCTATGAGTATTTTCTCAAATGCATGACAACAATTGTTTAGGTCACTTTATTTTCATTTTACCCAGTTATAACTAATTTTTAATTGCATTTTTAACTTTTCTCATTGCTTTGATCATGGTTACTGTAATTTTGTTAATTGCTTTCCGTGTATGTGGGTATTTTACTTTCTTTCCTTCTTTCTCTATGCCATGCTGGGGATTGAATCCGTGGTTAAAGGCACTATGTGGAGCATGCTACAGTGAAATAAATTCCAGCCTGTGTTCTCAGATTTATATTCCTTCCTACTATTGTTTGATTTTAATCAGAGGACAATCTACATGTTTCACATATCTTTATAATTTATGGGCATTGTGTCACAACCTAAAATATGATCTACCCTTGCAAACTTTTTGAGTAAATTTAAAAATGTTTTCTTCTAACTTTGTTCAAACTTATGTAATTGTAATTAGTCAAATTAATTGATAATATTATTTAAAATTTTAACTCCTAGCTAAATTATTGTATATTTATTCTGTTATCAGTTGAAAGAAATGTATGGCTGGCACCATGTTTTCCACATGTATTACTATCATATGTTGTTGTTGGTTTTGAACCTTTATTAGCAGAGGCAAAGTTATTTTGTGTTTACGTGTACCATCTATAAATTAAAACTTTTTAATTATGAAATAACCTTCCTTATCTGTAGTAGCATTATTTTTTCCAAATCTGCGTTTCTGTATGTTCATATGCCAGTATTATTAGGTATTGATTAGTATTAGCTTTGTTTCTCCATCATTATTTAGATATGTTTATGGTTTTAACTTAATTTTAATTACATATACAGAGGGAATAAAGAGAGACAGGACCCACTTCAACTCACTTGTCATTGAGATCCAG